CGACTTCACCTCATAAGGGATACATATTCCAAATTTGATTAAGGTATACTAACTGTTTTAGTCTCAATGCGTTTACAAGGTAACCATATAGGACTTATGCAAGTACTGTGACTTCTACATTCAATCTTCAAAATCATTACTCTATCCTCTCCACATTGCCCAGGGATAACTGAAACTGTAATTCAAATGATAACTAATACCCCCAACACCCACAGCCTTAATTATCTCTACATGGTGACCTTTTGCACAGAAACATCCTCTGAAACACAGCGGCATGTGCACATGTTCCCTATGATTCCTGGGAAGTTTTGTTGAAATTGGTCCACAGGTTTAGAAGTCGACAGACATGCAAAACCTGTCTATATTGACCAGTTGCCATGGCAATCAATATTTCGAGGGAAAATGGTGCATGCACATCTACACATCGTCCCGAATATTAATGTAAGTTTCATTGAAATTGGTTCACCAGTTTAGTTTAGGAGTTGTCCACACAAGATGTGTCTACAGACAGACAAACAGATGGATGGACAGATAGACGTGATTCCAGTTTACCCACCCTTTCAGTGGTATAAGAATGCACAAGAGTGCTTACAGATTCCATGTGGACAGACATCTTGGAAAACTATTAATAATAATAATGACAATAAAAACATGATAAAGATGCTTATATTTTGTTTTATTGAATTTTTAGATATGGTATTCTTTCCATGCTTTGATCAGCAATGTAATCCTGTCATGTCAATATCTTTAAGATTGCATACACAAAATTGTTGTAGGTATAACTTTGAAGATAAATAAATAAAATACACGCCAAAGTTTAAATTACGGTAATGTTAAAGTTTTCAAAATTACACATGGTTTCTTATACTAGTAGATCAAAAATTTATCTAATTTAGAAAAACAAGCCGTAGATGAAACTGTCTTTCCAACCATAGGCTTAACTGTAAAATCAAGAATAAACTGTCATCATTACATACAATTCCTATGACTTTGCATCAAGTGCCACAATAACAGAACTGCCATGCACAAATGTTCAGCACAACCATTACATGTGAATGTAACATGAAATCACTAATGCAGCCTTATTAATTGTCATTGATCTTGATTGCTTCCAACTTTTTGTTCGTATTCAAAGGAAAGCTAAATTCTCTCGCTTATAATGTGTTTTAATCTAGTTTTATGAAGCGAGTACACCGTAAACTTTTAATACTCAAAAGTAAAACGTACACTAAATATAGATTAAATTTGCATGAAGTTTTATGGATTGTCATGAAAATAAAGGTAGAATTTTTAAAAAAAATATGTATATGTCTATGAAAATATTGCATGAATTTTGGCACATTACTGTATATATCGAGCCTTTCTACGCATGTGAATTGTTATCTACAAACTTGGTAAAACAGTAAATCTTGCTTCAAAGTATATTTTACATAATACTCTAAACTCAGTAAACAATAATTAAGCTGTCTACAGGTGTGTATTGTAGATTGTATGCTACACACTCAGTTTACAGTGATATTTTCTACAAAAAAGTTTTTTTTAGGTAATGTATACACTGCACTCAGAAAACAAAACAGTAGTAAACATTCTGTGTACACTACAAACTCGGTATACAGTGATCTTTCGTATACATTTGTAAACTACAAACTCAGTATGCGGTTATTTTCTAACAAAAAGTTTTTTTTATATGTATTTTATACACTAAACTCAGAAAAAAAGTAAACCTTTCTATGTACACTACAAACTGATTGTTTTTAGTTTCCTCGATTTGTTGAATCTTCTTTAGTAATGGTAGATATATTGCCACCTTTTGACATGTTTGTAAGCACCTCCTCAAGTGATTCATTATCTTGAGCATCTAGTTGGAGGCCGGAAAGAAGGACATCTTTCTGCACGGTAAGGTCCTCAAATCCATTGTCGGTCTCAATGGCCAATTCCAATTCAGAAGAATCAATAGATACCTTCTACCATTCCACATTTCATTTCTTCAGGGACATCCACCTGCTAAAAGAGAGTAAGGGAAATAAATAACTATATTTCATTATTGCTATGATTATGTGCAAGAAATATACAATTCTGTATAATCATATTGACATAGAAAATATTAATATTGAAATGGTATTATCACACAATCACTTAACATTAATATCAATAAATAATTGCCTTGACTCTAGATTTTTGAGCTTTACCTTTGATATGAGACCTTGAATTTGGCTTGAACAAATCCATTGGCCATTAATTTCACATAACAGTTAAGTAATTTATCAGATGTACTAGGTTTTATCACCGACGGTATATGAAGTGTTTTTTGTCCTGAATTCTAAAGCTTTAAATTCATGTTATATAGACAATGCGACATTGACCTTTGAGTTTAAAAATCCATTTTCAATGGTGATGTGTATTTGAAGAAAAATCTACATGTTTCATGTCATCACATTCACAAGAAAAATTGAAATTAAGCAATAAATTCAAATGTTGCGTGGAGACAAAAATTAAGATAAAAAAGGTTATTTGTGAACACACAATGCCGTTGAGGGATAACCATTCCTTATGAAGCTAGTCATTTGACAGAAACAAAGAAATTGCCAATTCTTAGAATTTAAAAGAGTCTGATAACTCCTGCTAATGCTGTCAGATTTTTTACTTTTACCTTAGCCAACGCAGATCTTCTTAAAATAAAGCAGTAAACCAAATTTAGTTTAAATCCAATGATTAAAACTTCAAATATTTAATGTAAATTAAGAAATTGGTTATTTTTATCATTTAAAATATGTTAATTATATAACCCATCAAAATGTCGATAGATTTTGATCAATATCCAACACATACGAGATCTTCTTGATATCAAGCAGTTTACTGAATTGAGTTTGATTCTGTTGATTAAAACTACAGTTCTTTGATGGAATCCCTGACGCAGACAATCAGACAAAAACAGTATGCCCCCCAATCTTCGATGTTGTGGGCATAAAAATACAAGCATTTAAGAGAAATGAGTTTTCACATCTACTGTTTCTGATCTCTATCTGTGTTGGAGTAAAAAATATTATCTGCAAGACTGTTAAATTTTATAACAAATACTTACTGTTAAAGTACTGTTTCTTGTTGTGTTTAGCTGTGGCTGGCCTTGCCACTCTCCTGTAACACATTGAGTTACTTCAATATATTGGCCAACTGCAATTGGAATATGCGCCATATCCCTCCACAGAGACAGGTTTACTTCAGCGCCATCATTTTCAATTCGAATAGTGTGTATGGATGTCTCTTGTCCTCCCACTTTTACAGTGCGTACGCATTCATCCTACAAAGGAGTAACATTTAATTCAGTAAAGCATATATATGTAATAGTTTTCTTTGTAGCAACTCCATATATTGGTGCCTTTTCAATCCAGACCAGCATGTGAATATGTGGTGAACCTCGTTGCTGAAACTCCACTCTGTAGAAGTAGTCTTTTATTACACCTAACGGAGCCAAAATCCCTTTTCAGCAGTGTTGCAATAAACACTTGCACTCTATGGTTAAAATACCTGGCACAGGTGACTGGGTCGAATTAATCAATTCACATTTCTCAACCCAAGACATAGACTTCAATTCATCATCAACATAAGATTTAAGTTTAATCAATATCCCAAAGATTTGCAATAGGTCCAACCACTTAGTTTCAGCAGCAGAAAAAGAACAGAACCAAGTTGGGATACCTAACTGCCTAATCATAGCAAAAAATTCTTTTTTGGCATGTTCCCAGTAAGCAGGCGAGCCTCTAAGGGTGCGCAACACTCTAAGTCCTTCATTTTGTCTCACAACATTGTTAAAAGAGACAGGGTTTAAAACTTCCCCGACAGTTACTTTCTTCTTTGTTTTGCACTTTCTCGTTGCCAAGCTAACTTTGTCCTGAATCTGTTTTATTTGCAATTTTTTCATTTTGTTAACAGGTTTGGGATAGAATATGCAGCTCTCCTAACTAGGCATCGGAGTTCCCATTTACATATTGTGCTATAATGAACTGGTGTCTTGCGTTCTCGGTTTTCTGAACGTCTCTGTCCACAGTATATTGAAGGAAAGGACACCTAGGTATTCAGCATCTTTGTCTTGATATAAACCAAGAAGTGTCTGGCCCTCACCTAGTGCAAATGACAAAGATCTATTGCTATTGTTAAGTTCCCCTACATCAATTGGATGTAACAATGTATCTGTGTTGCCAGTTAAACGGTCATCAAAATTTCTTGCTTCTGTCCAACCATCAGAATCATCACTTTCATCCAAATCGTCTTTGCTTTGATGGTTACTTGTCGATACATCAACTTTTCCTTCCATTTGTATCCCATCAACAAGTAATTGTTCAGAGGCATGTTGATCACTAGCATTTGTTTCTGTGAATTGACAATCACACTGCGGGGCTGATGGATCTCTGGTTTCATCATCAGTATTGTCCACATGAATTTGCTCTTGGCTCTCAACAATAACATTGTCTTCTTGATGTCCATACCAGTCTCTTTCATTACCAAGACTCCAATTATCATTGATATGAATGCCCTCGGATTGGAATATTTTGCTATTAGCAATTAGCCATCTCAGAGCAGAAATGCATTCGTTAGGTCTGATGTTTTCATACATTACAGAATGCTTATTGCTAATCCGTCTCTTAAGTTTAACTTGAATTGTTTCTGAATCGGCTAATGTTCTAAGCAAGCTTTTGACAGTGTTAAGAACATCTGTTGGTACATTTACAATATTGCCCCTTAAACTTCTTTGACCACCACGTGGTTTTTCACATATTTGCATGAAAGGAATTCTAGGACTGATAAGTCGTTCTTCCATCTCTGTTATGTCCAACTCGGGAGGCTTATCTGGGAAACCATGCCATTCAAAACAGCACATGGCGGCACCTTGGCCTGCTTTATATAACCCAGACATGTTTCACATACCCATTCTGAATTGTTTTTACTTTTTAATACCTTGAAGACACCACTTAGTAAATTGGGATTGAGTTGTGAAACATTGATTACACTGTTTTTAAAGCATGTTTGTGTACAAGAAGAGCATACGTAAACAGGTCCTTCTGAAACAGCACACCGAAACTTTTCAACATGAACCAACTCAACTTTTCTTGCTTCTTTGACAAATGCATTTTTTTTGTTCCGTTTGATGTTGTGTGTTTATTGTTTCTGTTATGCCTTTGTTGGCACTCTTACTGGAAATTGGAATCTTCTCAAAAATAATTTTACTTTTTTTGAGCTGGGAATCAACAGTTTCTGTTCTTGCAAGCTCTGCAATCAGTACATTTGATTGTCTTTTGAACATGTTGGATTGAACTGACCCATATGAATTGCCTGGATGCATGTTAGAAATATTTCGCAATGTGTTTACTGCTACAATACCTCTATGCTCGGCTGTTTGTTTCATTACAGTCTTTCGAGTCGCCTGAAATTCACTTTTTTTTTGGTTTGACAACTTCACTTGATGTGGAAATCTTTCTGCTTTCAGAAAATAGATATGTATTTCTAGTTTTCATAACCTGTCCTACAAACACAGGGGCTGTCTCTGCGAGGAAATGGGGGTCCAGCTTAATTTGTGAACATTTCAAAACAGGTGCCACACATTTTTTATTATGCTTATTAATAATTTCAGAGTAAGTTTTAACAGTAGTGATACATGTTTTGTTTTTAGCCTGTGTTTGAACAAGAGACTTTCAAAGAATGAATCTCAAACTGTACTTGCTCCAATGGAATACTTGATAAGGAACAACAGAGTGCCCTCATAAATCCGCACAGGGTTGAAAAGGTTGGCAGAACAGACAGAACACAACATCCTTTTGGGTTACACAAAGCATCAGTACATCTACTATGAGAATCAAATACATAGTATACTCCATTCTGTGGCAAAACAACAATAGTAGATGCATGAAAGACAACAAGAGCATGTTTAGTTGCAAGATATGAAGTAAATACAGCATTCAATGCATTTTCAAGCGACAATCCTACAGGTGACTTGAACCCAGGCTGCATACTACCGACATTGGTCTTTTTGGGGGTTACAGTGAAAAACTTGCCATCAAGATTCACACATTTCGGCAAATCACCGACAAGAAGCAATTGCTTTGTACCAAGGCTTTTGTATAGGACATCTCCTGAATCCAGAATAACATTCAGATCAATTCGACTAAAATGTACCTGTTTTTTGTGTATATAGTATGAACATTAAACAATTTGTCATACACTGTTTCCCACGTGAAGAAGCATCAAATTTATCTGCACCTCGACAATAATCAGCCCTAGTTACAGAACTTGGCCTACTACTATATGTTAACTGATGTGATGCCATATTTCTCCAGCATAATCATTCACCTCTATTCAACCTAAAATTCCTGACCACTGTTACAGGTATGAATATTTCCAGTACTTTCCCATTATAACTCAACTTACAAGTACTTAATTAAGTTGCTTCAAGCTAAATCAATTAGAACACAAATTCTTCTTAGTTTAGTCCCAAATTACAGAGTAGTTCTGACTTATTACACAAAACATGTGTAAACATATCTCGTATCAGAAGTTTAGGATATAGCAAGTCATAAGCAGCTGACTTCCATAAGCTTATGTTCTATTTGTGATTTTGCATGTATATTGTCTTCAAGATTTCAAATTTCAATCCATTATACCCAATTTTCATCTATCTGTATGCTCAGTTTGAATGCCAATGTCATTGACTCTGCATTTGGTATCCTGTCAGAAATTGGTGTTATAGGTTTTTGTTCAACTTCAGGTTCTTTTGCAACAGACTTGAATATTGGATGCAGTCCATATGTCAGGTCACTGCTTTTACCAGCACCAAATGCCCCCTAAAAGAAAGGAAAGTGTTGGTTAAAAAAATGGAATGGGAAATAAATGTTCTATCAACTTACACCATTTCCTTTATAAATTGTTGCAACACTCGTTTTCACTTAGTAATCATGTAAATCTTTTGTACAAACTAACACATTCAAGAAACAATCGGCCAAAATGGCCCCTAAGGGAGTGAGCCCGGTTAGCACATACCCCCTTCCCACACTCAGACCATTTCAGGAAAAAATATAAGGCGGAAAAGAGACAAGTTTGGACCGATTTCACTTATCCTAATGAAATCGTCCTTGTCTCTGACTAGATAGATTTATTATCACAAGAAACAACAAACGATTTCCATATACCTGATAAGTGTCGCGATGCCCTCACGGTCTTGCATATGGAAATACTCGGACACAGAGTACTCAGCAACTAAAATTAAAATTTTAATAAAAGAAAAACATAGAAAAAGGACCAAAATTTCATAACAACAGCTGTCTTGGCACCACCGTGATTACAAATGAATTTCATGAAATTTCATTATATTTTACTACATTTATCATGTTCACAAGCAAAGCTTGGCAATTTCTGCAAAGGGCCATAACTCTGACAATCGGTCCGATTCAGTTATTATTTACAAACTCGTCAGAGATCTCATCAATATAAGGCTACATACCAAGTTTTATTAAATTCTGTCGGGTTTACTCAGGATATCGTGTTAACAAGAAAAAGTCAACGATGCACGACGCATGTCGCATGACGGACAGCGAGTACCGAAGCATGATGGCAATAGGTCAGGTGACCTAAAATCACTGCGAAAACATTTCTTCAATTGATTTAAAGATATCTTCAAATGAATTGCAGATGGTTTTAAATATACAGACTTCACACTCTGTATCAAACTCCTTGTTTGCTACATAAATAAAGTTTCACAGTTAAACAACTTGATCAATTGTCATATTTTTTATCTTACCTGGAGATAATAATCCAAGTACTTATTTGATGCATGACTAGTTACATAACACAAGTATTCTCATCACAATATCAACATGTGTCGATGTTGGAGTAGGTTGATAAAGACAGTAAACCATCAGGTTTAGACCTAATTGTCATTCTCTCAAAAATATATCGCACAGGCTCTTCCGAAACATTCCAAATCTGACTTTCTGTCATGAGTTCCACCAGTGTACAAGAATGGCTTGAGTTTGCTCAAACCCATGTCACAAATTTTGACCACATTGAATTTATCAGCAATAAGAACATTCTCAGGTTTGATGTCCCTATTGATGACTGATGGGGTCTGAGAATGCAAGTAGGCAACAGCTTGAGATATTTTAAAGGAAATTTGGAACTTCACCGACATGTTCATGACGTCCCCTCCACATCCAAACAAACCGCTGTCTAGGGTGCAGCCATCTATAAACACCAGGTACGGCCGATCATGCACTAGAGCAGATGCCACTAGTAACACAATATTTGGATGTCTCAACTGACTGCACACAGAGCTTGCGATCAATCAGTGGTTTTGATATTTTCATTCGTTTCACAACAATTTCTTTTACTGCCACTTTAGTGCCAATCCAATGTCCTAAATAAACGACACCGAATCCTTCTCTTCCAATCTCAGTACCAATGTTTAAATCAGACAAACTTACCCTTGGAACAGATACTGGTAAATGTTGTGATGGCATCGTTTTAGTTTCTTTACACACGGCTTGTTGTGACCTACTATATTTAGGTTGAGCAGGTCCACGGGCTGATGTTTGATATTCCCGAGCATTGGCCTCAAATGTCACATTGACACTCTGCTGTGCTTGAACCAAAGTGACATATTTCTGCTGTTGGTGAGAACTGCGTTCCTGAAGTGAAACAGGATTATACATTGGGGAAGAGGAGGTTAACTCCGGTTTTGGTGTGTTGATCACAGTCTGTGAAGTTGAGTCTATCAGAGGCAATGACAGTTTTCTTGGTATTGAACTGGTTACAAGGGTCAGTGAGGACGTTGTTTGTGACAAGTCTGATGACGAGGCTTTAGCGTGTAGCATTGGCAGCAAATTCGTAGTCTGCGGCGGTGAGAGCGAAGTAATTATTTGTAGCGAGGCCTAGGAAGTGAATTCCGGATGCTGAGACATGGTTGCAGAGTTGATTTCCTGTGTCATGGATAACAAAGGTATTTTCTGTTGCTGTGACACTGGGGTTATCATTGTCTGTAAAGTTGACAACGAACTGGCCCTATGTACCCGTGACAATTACCTGTGATTGTGACAGGAAAGGTAATGTCTGAGGTTGTGAATGTGAGGATGTGTTTTGTGGCAGCAATATGGGAGTGCTTATTTTCGGAAATGGTAAGGATGTGACAAGCCTTGGGAGTTTCGACTGAATACTTCCTCGAGTCCCCTTGGAAAACAGAAACAAGACCAGCTTTGACTCTCAATCTTTTCTTAAAGTTCCATTTTTTTTTGTTTCCAACAAAGAAATATCATAATCCTTCTCTTTCAATTTTTTTCTGCATAGCAGCAAGATCAGCACCACAATTTTCAGTAATCTCATGAAAACTCTCTAACAAAGCTGCTGCCTCGTTCCATTTTTTTTTTACTTTTCCTCTCCGTTTCTGTTTTGTTTCTATTTTTCTGCTTTCATTTTTTTTTATTTATCCTGCTTTGAATCAGCATTCAACTTCACTTTGTTTATAGTTTCATCTCTGCGTTTTATAGTCTGGTCGAGCACACGAATAGCTTTCCTCTTCCCCAACTTCAAATCATTTGTTTCTCCAACTGCGATTTCTTCAGATGCTGGTTGAGATTTATCAGAGTCATTCTCAATATTACTAAACTGACTGCCTGTTACACTAGAAGAGAAGCTTGTCACATTGTCACCGAAAGCATTTTCAACATTACTAAGCTGATGACTGCCTGTCACACCAGACGAACTCATCAGGAGTCAAATTTTTCATTGCAAATATCAGAAAACAGTCGAAATTCCCCATCATCAGTAAGCTTGTGAAACTTATCCAAAGTCCTTGCTGTGTGACTGGAAACACTTTTGCGATACAAGAAAGGAATATAGAAATTCGTTGGAAACCTCGAATGTGTTGGAGAATTTGTCACCAAGAAATGTCTGAGCTAGCCCTGACCGACTGTTCGATAATCTTGGCTTCTTTGTTGGCATCATGTTGAACAAAACAGAAATAATAAGTGCCAATTTTTTTTACCTGGAATGTGATTTTTTGTAACTGGAAAAAAAAATATAGTATCAAAAAGTGCCATGATTCCATAATAACACAACAAAAAAATCAGTATTACTAATTATATCAGCTGGTTGAGCACATGGTAGTAGTTATTATGTTGTTTATTTGGTCTTTTTGTTGTTTTCTCTGAAATTATACGAAGACAGCTTCATTAAGGTTAATGTTCTTTATTCGGCGTCCTGGTAAGAAGTCTCAACATGTACAAATATTGTATACAAATGTATTAATACATTCATAGAAATCTCTACACTATTAGTGTATTGGAATACAAAAATATCCTACTAATATACTGAGTACACTCACAATGAAATGAACTACGATAGAGGTTTGCATGTACATAGTGAGAAATGACAATTAAGTTATATGAACCTTTAAGTAGAATGTGAGGAGATTTAGCTTAACAGTTATTATATGAAAATATGACAAGTAAAATGTGGTAGAGCTAATTGGCATGTAAAAGATGATGAGAGATTTATTTAGCATGGAACATCAATTGACTTATAAAAAAAATACAAAAGACTGTACATATGAACACATGACTACACATAGCCTGACATATAACATGGGAATGGCCATATTTGTTAAGTTAAGACTGACTTCCGGTCAGTTAATGCAAGAAGTAAGGACAACTTCCGGTCAATATACATATACAGTACTTTACAAAAATCCTATGAAAGTGTCAACAATATCCTGAAATTCTATATTATAAAGTAAGTCTGAATTGTATAGGCCTTTCCGATAACTATGTTATCTCCCCCTGTTTTTCTTACTTTTGCCGCGAGGCGGCGCTAGAATTAGTTTACATGTTCTACTTCCGGGGGCTATGGCTTCAGTGACAACGAGTGATAAAAAAACGTAACGATGCCTCCCAAGACGAAGAAATATTGTTGTATATGTAGCAACTACAGAGGAAAAGAGGTTGATTCTAAGCGTATATCACTGAAAAAAGTTTGGTTGCAACGATGCAAACTTGTGATGAAAACATTTAAGCATACCAGGAATAGTTTGTTGTGTTCAGACCATTTTGCCGACAGGGAAGGACCTTCGCCTATCAACCCGATTCCATCATGTTTTGGAAGTAAATCATTCAGAACTTCGGTAGGCTTTTTCTTAAACATATAAAAAAATATAACGCCAAATTGTTTTCATGATTATGTTGCTCGGTCGCGATAACCCGTTGTGTTTCATACAAGAAATTTTACGTAGCGCATTCATGTACATGTTATAACAATAAATAAAAACCTCATCGACACTCAAGACAACAGGTAACCCAAATTTACAGGTCATTATACAGAGATTAATTATTTTGTATCCTGCTATGTACACAATTTTATAAATAGCTGTAATAACGGGATATGATCTTAGGTGGTAAATATTCATGAATAGTGTTACCTCTAACAGCCAATTACTTACAAAACGTGACATCAAAGATGTTTTCATCGAATATAGACTAGCAGATACTACTACAGTATACAAGTAACCCTGACACCATTTGAAAATGAAATGTTATAATGAATATAATATGTATGAGAATATTTATAAAAAAGTATTAAGTGCAAGATGAAAAGTTTCAATATATCTGATTAGCACTGTGTATTTGTAAATCTTGGCATATGTAGATGTGTGATCTTAATTTAGAAAAAAAAATATGCTTTAGGTAATTTATTTATAGAATAAATATACAGTGTTTATATATTCAGTTCATGAAATTGGTGTGAATAGATTTGTAAATTAAAATTAATTCTGTATTTTTTTTTCTTACAGAAACTTGATGAAAACCAAAATGATATAGAAAATGAGGTTCCAGAGGTTCTTGAACAAGAAATTGAATGCAACATCAGTTTAAACAGTGATGATTCTTTGAGCAGTGCACAGGGGTTTGTTACATCAGAGTCGGTATTAGATACATCCCTGCGAATCCATGACTACTTGGGACATCCGGATGTGGAAAGTTACTCATCAATAAGAAATCAGTATGTTCAGACAATGCCATCGAATAGAACAATTGGAACTCAAACAGAAGGTGACTCATTCGTTCGTCGTTTTGTAGATGCTGACTGTCAGACCAATGATGAAACTGTTTGTGTTGATGCTAGTGCACAGGTATCCCTCCCCATACTGACATATGATGACATCAAATCAGATGGACAGAAACTTATGTTTTATACCGGCATTCCAGATGCAGACACGTTTGATGCTTTATTTGATGAGCCAAGAGATGATGCTGAAGAAAGAACATCTCGAAGTGTTAACGGCAATGGAACTGGTGGCCGTCCACGCATCTTACGTGCCATTGATGAGTTTTTTATGGTGCTAATGCGTTTAAGATTGGGTCTCTTGTTAGAGGACTTAGCATTTAGATTTTGCATTTCAACCAGCACATGTGGGGACATTTTCAACAGGTGGATTGACTTTTTAGACAGTCAGTTATCCTTTCTTGTCATGTGGCCTAGTAGAGAAGCTATAGATAGTAATATGCCTGAAATTTTTAAAGAAAAATTTCCAACAACAAGAGTGGTTATTGATGCAACAGAGATACAGACAGAAACACCTTCATCATTACAGTTAAAATCTCTTATGTACAGTGACTACAAATCCCACATGACCTGGAAATCTCTGGTAGGAATAAGCCCAGCTGGAGTTGTGACATATGTTTCAGATCTTTGGTGTGGAAGCATTAGTGACAAACAGATCACCATAGAAAGTGGTTTAGTTGAAATGTGTGAAGCAGGTGATGCAATAATGGCTGATAAGGGCTTTACTATTTCTGATTTGACTACACCAAGAGGAGTAAAGCTGATCATTCCACCCTTCAAGAGAAAGAAAACACAATTTTCAAAGAATGATGTTAAAAAAACAAAAGACATTGCTAATGCACGTATCCATGTGGAGCGGCAAATGGAGAGAATAAAGAATTTCCAAATTGTACAGGGTGTCATGCCAATCACTATGGCTAATCGTGCGTCAAAAGTTTGGCGACTTTGTGCAAGACTTACAAACTTACAACCTCCCTTGGTTCCAGAAAATAGATTTAAACGAAAGTAGATACCAATCAGTTATTTATGTTCTGTCTGACTGCCTCTTGTTGTTCCAACATTTTACTTGTTTAAATGTAT